CACCAGTGGGTGGCGTCCCTCTCATGGGCAGCTCATTTTTGCCACTTTCAGTGTGGTGAGCACCATGGGTAGGGCCAGGGCCTACCCTTCAGAGACAGGTCTGTGTGCATAGTGCACGCAGCTGTAGCTGCAGTAGGATGGTCCAGGACCCCACACTGAGAACCTTGTGGGGCAGGCAGGTGCAGCACCCCCTGCCTGGCCGAATGCACCCTGGGGAGGCAGCCCACGCACCAGGAGACCAGCAGCATGAGCAGGGGCTACAGCAGCCCAGGACAAGCCCCACTATGGCCAGCAAAATGTTCAAAAAGTAAGAAAGGAAATCAAAAAGAAAAAGAGGAAGAAATGGTAGATGTGGAGAGCCAGAGAGAGAGAGAGAAAGAAGAGACTGAGTGTGAAGGAGACAGGAAACAGGTGATGACAGAGAGAAAGAGAGACTAGAAGAAAGAGAGATCAGAGAAAGACATAGAAGGTGAGACTAAGGAAAGAGATAGTGTAAAAAGAGAAGAGGAGGGAAAGAGAGAGAAAGAGTCGAAGAGAGAGATAGAGAGGCAGAGGGAGAGAGAGAAAGAAACAAGGAGGCAAAGAGAGAAGGAGAGGCAAAGACAGAGAGAGAAGGAGAGAAAGAAAATTAAACATATTGAAGATTCTGAAAGTTGTGAAAAATGTTATAAAACAGAATTTATGCAAGAAATGTATAATTTTTGCTTTGAAGGTTTAAGCAAGTTTGAAGTGTTAATCATAAAGGAAATTCTACATGTAAGCATACTGGCTAAAGTTAAAAGGGTATCATTCAATTTTTCTGTAAACTGGAGATTAAAATACAAGCACAACAGGTTTTTCTTAAAGCACTAACCTGCTCTTTAACAAAGATTATAAAAGATCTCTTAGCACAGGCACCACTCCTAGGATTTCCAGTACAACAGCACCAGCCTGGAGACCACTCTACCTCGTGCTGCTAACCACTGAGACTGCTGTTTGCACAACAAAAAAGGGATGAACACATCATGCCCAAGTGAAGAGAGCACCATCACCGTCAGGCCATTGTTCCAGGATCAAGCCCTACCAAATTAAAGCTAAGAAAAGCTTAGTCTATCTATCTTTTCTTCCCTTTACTCACCATCTTATTATTAATGTGATTAGATCTAACTCACCTCAAGTTATTACTTTTGATGCCTCTTTAGTTATACCTTGTGGAGAGTTACATAATCAAACATAGCTTACTACTTCAGAAAAATATCTCTGTCCCTCTTGGATTTCCTCAGATTAAGAAGACATAATGAGTTCCTGTAAGGATACTAGTAATCCAAGGAATAGCAGCTGTATTCATTGGTAGGAATCAGACTTTTGTCCCTCTAAAACAGAATCTCTATGTTCTGCTTGGTCTAATATCCTATAGAATACTAGAAGTTTAAGATGGACTGCTTCCACAGGTCTTTGTCAGTCCTTAAAAACATATATCCATTTCACCAAAGGAATTACTCCTTCTAGCTGTCAACATAACCAATGTAATCCTATATAGCTTACTATTGTTATTGCAATATTGGAAAACCCTTCCCCTTCATTAAGTTGTATTTATAGTACAGGAGCTGACATTTCAGGAAAGGATCCTAAATGAATTTTTGAAATATGCTTTATTGCTCCTTCAACCTCTTTATCAATCACTCCTCCCAGATACAGTGACAAAACTAAAGTCTCTGTAGTAGAAGTAAAAGACCTAAGGCAAACCATAGCTATTGAGACAGGGTATTGAGATGCAAATGCCTGGCTAGAATGGATTTATTCCGTCCTCAATCTAAATAAAAGCGACTGTTACACTTGTGCGCACAGTAGGCCAAGGCCCAGGCTGTCCCCTTTCCACTTGGATAGTCCTCTATTCAGAACACAGACTGTATAGTATCTCTTTTCCAAAATCCTACAGCCTAGGATAATGAACTGTGCCAAGCTCTTTCTCTGTTACTTCCTGAAGTTCAACACCCTGCGGGTCAGCCCCCAAGGGCCATACACCCTCCATCTTCCAAGGCAGAGTTTGCCTCATGTCTCTCATGACAGGGGGAGAATTTAGTGTTCCCTGGAAACGTAATAAGATACAGTGAAGTCAGGCACTTCCAAGAGATGACCTATCAGTCTGCCCTTATTCATCCCTGAGCAGGTGTACAGTGGTGTTGTGGAAGACCTTTACTGGACATTCTGACAAATAACTCAAGTGGCACTTGTGCTCTAGTTCACTTCGCTATCCCGTTTACGCTGGCATTTCATCAACCAGAAAAAGAAAAAGACATCGTAAAACAAGAGAAGTTTTCTCTTTTAGAGACTCAGTTAAAACAACTAAGCCAAAATATGTCAAAAAAGTTTGAAGAGAAAAATTATAAAGTAAAAGAGGAGGGAGTTTGGGAAGTAGTAAAGTTCCTCTTCCAAGTTTCCTTTCTTGTTTAATAATAATAATAATTAATCTCAGAAATAATAGTCTCTTTTAAAGACTTTCTTCAAAGGCTTCTTGCTAGTAGCTCTTTGTTAAGCCCTATCCTATGTAGCTGTTAGACATGCTCACAGGCACATAGTACATTCTGTGTCCTTTAATCAAGATATCTGTGCTGGATGTGCTCACAGACATGTCCCAGCTTGTAGCCCATGCCCCTTTCTCATTTGGACTCCTTTTTGTTCTCCATTGCTTTTACCTATGCAAGGACATTTTAAGTTATTAGCCAATCAGGTTCAGTTTTAGATTGTGTTGGCTCCAGCCAACAAAGATCAGACACAGGAGTAAGGACGAACCCAAATGGGTAAGGGATAAATATGTCTGCTTTTCCTTTGTTCATTGTACTCTCATGGCAAGATGGTTAACGGAAGCACCCTTTCTGCAGAAAGTAAAATTGCCTTTCTGAGAGATCCTTTGTCTCAGTGCTGGTTTTTCTTTTCGGCACCGAGCAACTGTTTCCAACAATGTGCACGTGCAGACTGCTTGGCATACCCACAGGAGCACGCCTGAGCACACGACCCACAGGGCAGATCTAGGGTGGCAGGGGAGAGGCTCTGTTTCAGGCTCTAGCCTAAGCCGAGGTCCATTCCAGCCTTTACCAAGATCTTGCCTTAGGGGCTGGAAGGTGCCTGCCTGCAAGGGCAGAGGTGGAACTCTCTTTCCCTTGATTTTCTTTTTTTTTTTTTTTTTGAGACAGAGTTTCACTCGTTACCCAGGCTGGAGTGCAATGGGGCGATCTCGGCTCACCGCAACCTCCGCCTCCTGGGTTCAGGCAATTCTCCTGCCTCAGCCTCCTGAGTAGCTGGGATTACAGGCACGCGCCACCATGCCCAGCTGATTTTTTGTATTTTTAGTAGAGAGGGGGTTTCACCATGTTGACCAGGATGGTCTCGATCTCTTGACCTCGTGATCCACCCGCCTCGGCCTCCCAAAGTGCTGGGATTATAGGCGTGAGCCACCGCGCCCGGCCTTCCCTTGATTTTCAATCCTTGTCTGTCCTTGTGCTCAGGAGGGGTGAGTGGTTAGAGCCCCTGGGACCCATAATAAATATCAAGGTCCTTAAATATCAAAGATACAAGCTTACAAATATCGCAGGTCATTTCAAATTCATTTCTAGAAAAACAAATGTATAATTCAAAAAACAGTTTTGAATGATACAAAAGATAAAAATTAAAAAAGCTTATATTACAGAGGAAGCATAAGCAGTTCTATGTGCAACATCTCACTACACGCTGCCTGCAGCTCAAGGCCTGGACTCTGCTCTGGGCTGGGAAAACAAGGCAGACCATCTGGAGTCCTCAGCTCCTCCTCAAAAGGCCTCTGGCAAACCCACACAAGACAGCCTACTGCCTTGGGCCTGAAGCAGGGTTTGGGATGAGACAGCCTAGAGCTGTGAGCCTGGAGCAGAGGTTTGGACAAGACAGCCCAGAGCTGTGGGTCTGAAGCAGGTATTGGGATGAGACAGCCCACAGTCGTGGGCCAGGAGCAGGGGTTCTCTCCACCCCTCACAGGTACCCTCAGGGGCATGGGGAAACTTAGCACCCCAGAGGGGCTACTGTCTTGGACCCCTTGATGCTGGTAAGAATTTCTGTGGCTCAGGGAAGAAGCCCAAGATTCATCAAACAGCACTGTAGCTGGGCTCAGTGGGGATGTCTGCCCCCAAAGGCCACAGGGGCCCAAGGATCTTTTCCGGGTGCCACTGAAGGGTCCCTAGGGGTGAGCACTCTGTCATGAAGTCTTCCAGCCTGCACCATTCTCAGCTTTCTCAGATCTGCCCTCAGCTATTTCTTCCCGTCACCCTCTTCACTCCCTCCTTACTCTACACTTGCTTCTTTCTGTTCCCTCCCTCCTCACTTGTTCCCCTCCTCCTGTCCCTACTTGTTCCCTGCACCCTCCCTCCTTACTTGTTTATTCCCCCTACTCTTCCTCTCTCTTTCTCCCTCCTACATCTTCTTTCTTTCCCCCTCTCCTCCCTCCTCACTTGTTTCTTCCTCTCTCTCCTTGCTCTTCCTCTCATTTCTCCCTTTGTCTCTTCTTCTGTCTTTGGTCTTTCTCTCTCTCCACCTCTTCACTGTTCTCTTCTTGCTGTCTTTTCCACCCAGACCATAGACTGAGCTCCCCCCAACCCAGGAAGAGTAGGAGGCCCAGTTCGGTCCCATTTGGGCATCCCAGGGTTACTGGGTCGCCTATCCTGGAGCTACCCTTTGGAGGGAAACCCTTCTTTCCTTGAGCATGGGAAGGCCTCCGCTGACTTAACTGGCCACAGAGGAAGCTCTGCACTGGGGGAACCGAGTTTCCAAGGACTTGACCTGGAACAAGTTTGTTGGGGGCCTCTAGCCCCACAGAAGGCAGACTAAGCTGGTTCTGCCCTTCCTCAGAGTCTCACCCCGATGCTGGAGGCCTGCTGGTTTATTACAGGGGCTTGAAGGACAGGGTGGGAGACCAGGGAGTCAGGGCCAGGTTGGTAAGAAGCCCTAGCACCCCGGTCTGGAGCCTGGCTCACTTGGCTGCCACCAGGATGGCATTACTTCTTGGAGGCCTGCTTCTTCCAGCTGGTTGTCTTGCTGTCCCTCCTGAGTTTGTTGTGAGGCTGTAGCTCCACTTCAGGCTCTCTTGCTCTAAAGATCAAAATAGAGAAAGTGAATGCTGAGGGGCAGGTAGGAGGGAGGGGCTGCTCTTCACAGTGCCCAGAGCCCAGGCCCAGTTGGGCCAAGACAGACAAGACCCTCTCCCTTGCATAGGTGAGGTTATCTGGGTGCTGCTCCAACCAGAGGGCCCCAGTGGCACCTGTGATCTTTCTACATGCTTCTAAATTTGATTTTCTATCTTCATGAGAAATATGTGATTTCCATGCCATTCTGAATGCGTGATTCATTTCATGGTTATCATCAGTGGCTTTTAACAGGTGCAGCAAGTTTCTTACAAGGAAACAGAGGGGCAGTCTCCACCCTTCTCAGACTGATGGGTCTGGGCTGTGGGGTTCTGCTGCAAAATCTAAAAAGGGCTCCATCTGCACCACCCAGACCAGTGCAAGCAGCTCTAGGGCAGGCTGCATGCCTACCCAACACTGTGTTGATTAAACGGGCTAGATGTCAGGGATGGTTGGAGATGACCCAGGCCTGGGGGGAAGTAACTTGCCCCAGGCCAAATAGCCCAGAGGTGGCCTGCTGTGAGCCACACTCATTCTGGCAGCTGGGGTGGCCACCTACTTCTTCTCAGCCTCCAGAGGTATCTCCTTCTCCACATAGTCTCCCAGGGCCAACGAGGAGGAGCTTCCTTGGTTATCTTCTGACTCGGCTTTCCTGGCTGATTCAGAATCCTCCAGGCTCAGGACAGAGTTCTGAACACTGCAAGGGAGGTAGAGTAGGGGGGCAGTGCTCAGGGCCCAGGGCGTGCTGCACACTGTCCCGTCAGTGTTCCCAGAACCTAGAGAGACAAGGGCACAAGTGCTTCTTCTCCTGAGGGTGGCAAAGAGAGAATCTGAACTCGACGGGGACCCAGTGACACGCTGCAGGTTGGCTTCCCTGGCTTCTGTTTTGGGCTGGATTGGCCCTAACCCACATGCTGCTCCAATCCCACCCACAACACTGACCATAGCAAATGCCTGCAGTGGGGCAGGAGGGCTCTGTAAGTGACCACAGAAGAAAAGACAGGAGTCCAAGGAAACGTGTTATCACATGTGGTATTGTGGGCTGAACACATCCCTCCCAAATACATATGTTGAAGTCCTAAACCCCGAGACCCCAGAACGTGGCCTTATTTGGAAACAGGGTCGTTGCAGATGTCATTAGTTAAGATGAAGCCATAGTGGAAAAGGGTTGGTCCAATCCAACATGACTGGTGTCCCTCTACAAAGGGGAAATTTGGACACCCATGCATGCTGGGAGAATGCCACATGAGGATTGCAGCTCTGTGGCCATAAGCCAAGGAGCCACCAGGAGCCCCCAGAAGGGAGGCCTGGAATGGAGCCTCACTAGCAGCTTCTGGGAGAGCATGGCCCCGCCCACACCTTGGTCTCAAGCTTCTGGCATTCAGAACTGTGAGAAGATGAATTTCTGTTGTTTCAGCCACTCAGTTTGGGTCACCTTGTGGCTTAGGCTGTTCGAGCAGCTATTACAAAATACCGTAGGTAGGTGGCTGTAAAACAACAGAGTTTCCTCTCTATTCTGGAGGCTGGGAGGCCTGTCATCAAGGAACTGGCAGATCTGGTGCCGAGTGAGGACCCACTGAGTCATAGATGGCTGCGTTCTCATTCTAACTTCACACAGGGAAAGGGGCAAGGGTCCTCCTGGAGCCTTTTATAAGGGCACTAATCACATTCATGAGGGCTCTATCCCTCCACTTCCTAAACCATCACCTTGGAGGTGAGGATTTCAATACATGAACTTTGCGGGGACACAGACTTCAGACCACAGCCCCCTGTTACAGCAGCTCCAGCAAACACATATGTGGCTACTCCTCACCTTTGTGCCACACCTCACGGCGTTGCAGCCATTCATTGTCAGTGTTTCTGAGTTACAGGATGTTTCTGAGATTCACAGCAGCCCTGGGAAGCAGGCAGCTCTGGGACATTTGTCCCATTTTCCTGACAAGGCCCCTGAAGTCCAGAAAGGTGAGTAGGCTTGTTCACAGGCACATAATAAATCAATGGCAGAGACAGGACTGGCCTATGCATGTACCGTCTAGTCACTTGGTCATATTTACTGACCCTCTACTATGCGCCTGACCCTGAGGAGTTTGCAATCTGGTGGGGGGCATGGGCAGCAGCAACTGGTGCTGAAGGAGGGGGCATGGCTTGGGGAGGGGGCCTGAGGAGGCTCTGGGGGTATAACAGGAAGTGGGTATGGAGGGACTTTCTGGCAGGGGCCATCCACAAGGTTTAGAGCAAGAAAGTGTGTATGGGCTAAGTCTCTTTTGTTTGTAAAGATCAAGCAAGGTAATAAAGGTGACTTGCTTAAGGCCAGGGCCTTTCAGAGACAAGAAGAGACAACAACAACCTATCCCATCATTTCAAGGGCCCTAGAAAAACTAAACACAAAGAAATGCCAAGACAGGGCCTCAGAATCTGGGTGTATGCACAATGATTACATTTGGCAAATTAACGCCTCTTTCCAGCTCCTCACCTCCAACCTGGCTTCACAGGGAACACAGACACAAAACTAAGCTGACCCTTTAAATGCCTCACTTGGAGGCCTGCCTGAGGCTCTTTGAGAAGGGGGACTGTACAGGTGTCTGGGCCTTTGGTGCTAGCGCCCAGGCCCTGCCATTCTCAGAGGGTGGTGGGGGGGGGCAGGAGGCTCAGGGTAGGCTGGTGGGCTCCTCCAGGTCTCCCCCAGAGCCCCAGCCCAGGGTGAATGGGGAGGAGGTCCCCGCAACTCTGTTTGGTGTTGGGTGCTTGGGGAGTGCAGGGGAAAAGGCTCAGAAAGAAGTATGGTCCCCCTCATCTAGACCTTTCTTTCTCTCTCTCTCTCTTCCTCCCTCCCTCCTTCCCTCTCTCCCTCTCTCTCTCTCTCTCTCCCTCTCTCTTTCTTTCCCAGAGCATTTCCTGAGCACCTCCTCCCTGAGCTCAGCTCTAGGTCTAAATACCTAGAGTTCACAGCCAGCCCCGCAGTCCCAGCAGTCCAGAAATGTCCCCACCCTAGGCACTGGCCTCCTCCCTGTTCTCCCTGCCTGCAGCTTCACCCTCTCCTATCCAGTGCCATGTCCCGCTCCCCACCAGAGGGTTGATCCTCCTTGATCTGGCCTTGTGTCTCCCACTTAAAGCCAGTCTGTGGTTCCCCAATGCCTGCAGGGGTAAGCTCTAGCTGCTCGCCCCGCCCCGCCCCCGGCATGATGTCTGGCTCAGGGCCTGTCAGAATCTGACCCAAACTACGAGCATGTTTTTCTAACAGCCTGTCTCGGCAGCTCCCCTAAATCTACAGCCTTCCTGCTCACAGGTCCTCAAGCTGTACTGTGCCCTTGGCTGCCCTAGCCCCTCCCTGAGTGCCTTTACTTCTCCTTTGTTGGGCCTTCTTATCCTTCAAGGCCAGCATCCCAGGTCCCCTCCTCTGCGAAGCCCTCTGAGCTGTCGCAGAAGGCCACATTTCCTCCACCATCATCTCTGCTTCTGTGCTTATTATGGTGCATTGCTCACAGCTCTGTGATTCTGCCCCACAAGTGCCTTGGGAGGATTTGGTCTCAGCACCTTGGGACCTCTTGTATCTGGATCTTAGCAGGCATAGTGAGTAAACGAACCCATGAACCAAATGATAGGACATCAGAGGACCATGAGCAACTAGGCCAGCAGAGCCACACAGTGTCCCCCTGGGGGGACAGGAACACTCCTGTCCCTGCTGACAGTGGGCCAGGTGCTTCTCTGGAAGACTGATCTAGAGGTTGGCTCTGAGACCATCCTTGCTCAGGGATAAGCAAAGACAACCATCTGGGGCTTTGCAACAGGCCAGCCCTTCCAGGAATTTCAAAGCCTTTGTATTCGCCACAGTGAAAAGGAAAGTGTTGGCAAGAATAGGCCCTTGTCAGGTGGGGAGCCCACCTCCCCATGGCTTGTGGCTAGCCCACTGTTTCTGAGCCCCTGGTCTACTTCAGGAAGGTAACTTCTCTCTACTCAGCATCCCTCAGGCCCCAGTCCAGAAGAGAAGTGGTTTTAACACCATTTTCATCCATTCTTATCGTCTGCTCCTGTGACAAGCTCATGATACCCTGCTTAGCCCCAACCCAGTGTCTGCCAGGTTCACGAGTCTAAAGCCCAACTCTGATCAAGCCTCTCTCAGTTCAAGGACCTTCAAGAGCTCCCCATTGGCTGTAGGATCAAATCAGGAAAGCCCATGTCTGCATGCCCTTCCCCTGCCTGTCCATGGGGCTTCCTTGGGCTGAGAGGGGTGTGGGGTTGCTGGCATGAGCAGCTGATGAGGGGGGATTGCTGTTCCTCTGAGCAGCATCGCAGAGGGAGGATCTGGCGGTGGCTGGCTCCTCACTGAACATGGGGCCTGTTCTCCATAGTTCCATCCTTGGAGGGGTTTTGGTGTCTGCAGTGGACGAGGGTGCGGGCCCCCTGCACAGCTGATCCAACAAGACACCTGGTCTCCTCACCCTGCACCCTCCCCACTCCCCTGCCTACCCCCTCCTCCCTCCACCCAGCCTCTTCCTGTCTCTTCTGAGGTGGCCAAGGGGCAGGGGTGCTATCAAGTGGCGCAGCTGTGAAGAGCTTCCCCTCCCATCTGGATAGCATGTTACAGGACACAAAGCCTTTTGAGGCTCACACTGGTGCTTCTGCAGCACTCTGTCTTTATCAGGCCTCATTCCAGTTGGTAGCATGGTCTGCATTTCACAAAGCACTTGACAGTTTATATGGTGCTTTGTCCCTTCGGAAGTGTCTTATGGTTTACAAAGTGCTTTGCAGGGTAGGAGGCACATTCAAGTGTACAGGGCACTTTATGGGACTCGTGGTAGCTTAGCAAGCACTCTGCTGTTCTGGAGAGCAGGCCGTGAGCACGCAGAGCAGTGTAGATGTTTTCCAGTTTACAAGGCCCACTGCCGCTCCCAAAGCCCTTTGTGATTTTGAGGGCATGTGGTAATTTACGAAGGATTTTGTCTTTTACAGAATTCCTGACAGTTTGCAGAGGACCTGTGGTTTACTGGGTGTACTAAAGTTTACACAGGGCACATGACAGTTTAAGGAGCACTTTGTCATCACAGGTGCGGTCATCTCTGACAGCTTCTGATCCTCTCAACTCACTCCTCTGAGTGAGAAAAGACTATATCCCCATCCCACAGGGAGGGGACTGAGGCCCAGCAAGGGCAAGGTCAGGTTTGTGGCATCACCTGGGCACACTGCCCCTCCAGGGCATCTCCTTACCCTGGCTGGGTATTCACTTTACCTTCTCTAACATGGGCGCTCAGGGCCTGAGGTCATCTTTTCTGCAGGAAGCTCACCCACCAGCCTCCCACATTGCCTAGCAGCTGGGCTTGGAGCTCAGGGTTTCGCTCTGCTCTCCCCGTCACCCCATGCCAGGCCCACGGGCAGCACCACAAAGGGGCACCACCAGGCGCCTCTACCCCAGACACTTATGAGGGCTTCAGGACACCAGGTCTGGCACATTCCCATCCTGGGACCTAACTGGCTAGCAGTCGAGTCAGATAGTTGTTGTCCAGTTAGCTCCAGTCCTGGGTAGATGGAGACCAGACTTTCTGAGAGGTCCTAGCAGGAGGGTGTGACAATGGAGGGACAAAGCAGAGGCTCCCAGCCCTCGCTGGTCTTGTGTGCTCCAGGACATCTTCCACAGTGAGTCAGGGCCATCGTCCTGACAAAGCTGCCTGGCCACACTCCTCAAAGCCTCCCACAGCTCTG